CAGCCAGCCCCCGGCCTGAGCACTGCGAGCAGGCCGCGATCAGCTGACTACACCGGCACTGCCTACCGGAACTGCCCGTCACCGGGACCGCCTCCACATAACGGCCGGACTGGACGGGAGAGGGGGGGGGAGAGCGTCCGGTGTGAGAGGGCGGGGGGGCGGCTCTATGATGTACATAGTGACCTGACTGTATACCCAGCACTGTGCTATAATAACATCAATACACCCAGCACTGTGCTATAATAACATCAATACACCCAGCACCGTGCTATAATAACATCAATACACCCAGCACTGTGCTATAATAACATCAATACACCCAGCACCGTGCTATAATAACATCAATACACCCAGCACTGTGCTATAATAACATCAATACACCCAGCACCGTGCTATAATAACATCAATACACCCAGCACTGTGCCATAATAACATCAATACACCCAGCACCGTGCTATAATAACATCAATACACCCAGCACCGTGCTATAATAACATCAATACACCCAGCACTGTGCTATAATAACATCAATACACCCAGCACCGTGCTATAATAACATCAATACACCCAGCACCGTGCTATAATAACATCAATACACCCAGCACTGTGCTATAATAACATCAATATACCCAGCACCGTGCTATAATAACATCAATACACCCAGCACTGTGCCATAATAACACAGCACTGTGCTATAATAACATCAATATACCCAGCACCGTGCTATAATAACATCAATATACCCACCACCGTGCTATAATAACATCAATATACCCAGCACTGTGCTATAATAACATCAATATACCCACCACCGTGCTATAATAACATCAATACACCCAGCACCGTGCTATAATAACATCAATATACACAGCACCGTGCTATAATAACCACTGTATACACAGCACTGTGCTATAATAACATCAATATACCCAGCACCGTGCTATAATAACATCAATATACACAGCACCGTGCTATAATAACCACTATATACACAGCACTGTGCTATAATAACATCAATATACCCAGCACCGTGCTATAATAACATCAATATACACAGCACCGTGCTATAATAACATCAATATACACAGCACTGTGCTATAATAACATCAATATACCCAGCACCGTGCTATAATAACATCAATATACACAGCACTGTGCTATAATAACATCAGTATACCCAGCACCGTGCTATAATAACATCAATATACATAGCACTGTGCTATAATAACATCAATATACCCAGCACCGTGCTATAATAACATCAATATACACAGCACTGTGCTATAATAACATCAGTATACCCAGCACCGTGCTATAATAACATCAATATACACAGCACTGTGCTTTAATAACATCAATATACACAGCACTGTGCTATAATAACATCAATATACCCAGCACCGTGCTATAATAACATCAATATACCCAGCACCGTGCTATAATAACATCAATATACACAGCACCGTGCTATAATAACATCAATATACCCAGCACTGTGCTATAATAACATCAATATATCCAGCACTGTGCTATAATAACATCAATATACACAGCACCGTGCTATAATAACATCAATATACACAGCACTGTGCTATAATAACATCAATACACCCAGCACTGTGCTATAATAACCACTTTATACACAGCACTGTGCTATAATAACCACAATATACACAGCACTGTGCTATAATATACACAGCACTGTGCTATAATAACCACAATATACACAGCACTGTGCTATAATATACACAGCACTGTGCTATAATAACCACTATATACACAGCACAGTGCTATATTAACCACAATATATACAGCACTGTGCTATAATAACCACTATATACACATCACCGTGCTATAATAACCACTGTATACACAGCACCGTGCTATAATAACCACTATATACACTGTGAGAGAGAGCAAAGCAGCAAGAGCATATGTTTAGCATGCAAAGTCAGCTTTACCTAAACTTATTTATAGTCAGCCAGTCCACACAAGTTGTGTTACCCTACATCCCTTCTAAGTCCCCATGCTTAATGTCCTCTGCAAAAAGCAAGAGCATGTAAAGAGAGGTCAGTTTTAAAAAATTCTTTATTTTTAAGCAGTTGGCCTATGCTATTGGCAATGCCTTCAGCTCCATCAACCCCTATGTTAAGCTGGCCCTGGTAAAACTAGAGTAGAAGTGTGTACCCGATCTTAGAGGGGCCTGACTAGTACTGAGAAAAGA